ATATATATATATATATATATATATATATATTATGAAATCTAAAATTCAGCTATTAAATTTTAGAAAGCTTAAATTTAGATTTAAAATCAATATTTTTAATATATAGGTTAGGTTGCAAGTGTTTGAGACTGACTGACTGCCCTACTTTTACCTAAATGAATGACCCTTTTACCTGCTTTTCAACGACTCGAACTGTTGGGCATATTCATATATATTGAACAGCGACACTGGTGACGAACATGTAACTTTTATTCAAGATGGATGTGCATCTTTGTCAAAACAAACTAAGTTAATCTTAGTTACTTCTTATTAACTTTAGAAATATGGCTGAGTCAGTTACCCTTTGATACAAATAAAGTGTATGTGTACCGGTGTACGTCATGCATTCGTGAGTAAATTTGTTAAGAACCACATCGTAGTAGGGGTGCTGCTCTAATTGTATTTTTTACTAAATTTCATGCAGATTAATATTTTAAAGTAAGTAACTAAAATGGGATGAACTTAAAAAATTAAACGAAGAGGAGAGAAATGAGAGCAAACTAGTTCAACCAAAACCTGAAAACTTTTCTATATTCCTTCCCCTCCTTGATCTTCTACATTTGCTGCATCTCACCTTTTGAATTCGTTCATAAAGCCTTAGCTTCTTGCTACATCTTAATTTCTTGATGTTTCTCATCCTCACTCACCAATAAAAATCCAAAATAAAATATAAACAAAACTGTTCATAAACTCAAAACACTTTCCGAAGCTATATAAGTAGAACTTCGGAGGGTCTTCTCCTAGACACCAATTTAATTATATCTATCTAAATGCCACCTCTACATTTCATAATGATGAAGTTGTCACCATAGTTTATAAATAATTAGATGCAAAATAAAAAAGAAAACAGGGGAACCAATAATCAAAATTAGCTAGGCTTGTTCTTTGCCATTCCAATCTGGTCTTCCTAATGTGAATTCCAAGCTCGGGTTCTTGCACTCCAAATTAGAACCTGGCATGCTGTTCTTGAGTTGACTTGAATCACACTCCTGTAGGTTTATTTGTTATTAACATATAGAAACAATAACTTGTAAATGAGAAATATAATAATAATGACACTACAAACAAATGTTATCTCTGACTACCTGAATTTGATGCCCTGCTGATATTGTTTGTGACTGGAGGATAGGTGATCTGAGACCATCTATGTCGTTAGAATTGGTTCTTAGCCGTGACTCTCCACAACTGTTATCAGTTCCATGAAATTCACAAGGTCACCAAAACATAATTGCATTAGTTCCATCACTCTCAAGAGTTGTACCACGTAGCATATAAATAACAAGGTAGAAAATTGATGGATTGTTTTTCAGAGATGTAATTTTGAAGAGGAATATATGTTTTATTGTGCATCAAGGATTTACACAAATCTCTAAATTGGTATGTGTTGTTTGTTTTGAGGTTAAGTTTTCATGACTTTGGTCATCATCTAAAAAGGCTTTATACTAATAAAGATTTTGTCTATATTTATAAACTCATGTTAATGTTGTTGTTTTGTCACAGCGATAATAATATCTAAGTATATAAACGTTATATTTCTTGCACATCTTCCATCTATAATGTTATGTTTATTTTGAAGAAATTATCTTTAATATATCTTCCTTTCAGATATAAACAAAGGATAATCATAAGCTTAGGAGAAGCTGGCTAGTTTTGTTACTGACACAAATACCAGTTTAGAACGTGAGAGAGAAAGACACATGATGAATGAGTAATAATATTATAATTGATGTCATGCGTTTAGAAGAGACATAAAAAGAAATTAGTAATGTTGAATGATGTTTCTAGTTTCCACTATTAAGGTGTTCAAGATATGTAATAGGAAAAGAGAGATAAAAAGATGTATCAATGTTGTTTTGTATATAAAGTTTTTTTATATGTGGTACCAAGCCGGTATTTTTTTGTAAAAAGAAACTGATTCATGACTTGACATTATTTCAACAAAAGAGGCTGTGCTTTCTGGTTTTCCAGCTTTTAAAAAGTACAGGCACTATGTGAAAGCTAGGTTGGGTTGCACAGTGACATGGCATTTTGAATACTAATTTATTTACCTTAAAAGGAATTCTTGCTTTTATGTTGGCGCAAATATGCAACAAATCTATGTGAAAATATGCACTGTTAGGCTAAAGTCCAGACAAATTTAGATATGTATAGGCACTAATAAGCTACAGCTCTTGAACTGTGAAGATGGCTTTTTTGTTACTTATTTTGAGCGGTTATATGTGATAACAGGCACAGCATAAAGGTACATATGTCATCTGTTCCACTTGCTATTCATGTTAGTATTACTTGAAAAAGTCAAAACTCACATACTTACCAGAAATTTATATTCTAATTAAATAATCTCAGGTAAAAGAAATTTAAGATCTATATATGTTTTTCAAAGCTTAGTTATCATGCACGAGAGTCAACTAATTATATCCTCCAGGTTTAAAGTATGTATATCTTGATCTTTCATTTTTGCTTTCTTTAAAAAAAAATTATAATTTTAAATACATGAGTATTTTTTTATGAATCAATTTTTATTTTCTTTTTTTATAGAAAAATCTCTTTTGATTTCGTCTAGTTATTTTGATGTTATTAGAATTTTGTTAACTACTGCTTGAAGAGTAAGAATTAACAAATAAAATGTATGTATTAACTAGAAAGCCATGTTTAATTAATATATTAGAAATTAAAAATATATTTATATAATTCTTACTATTTTTTTAACAATATATATAACTCGTGCAATGTGTGTTGAGTGTGGTACTTTTTCGTTCACAAAAAGGTATTCAAGAATAAAAAGAAAAGAATTAGTCTCTTGTTCAAGACATGTAACTAAGAGGATTCAACCGTCAACATCTTCCCATTAAATATTTATTTTTATTAATTTCTTCCTCCCTCTTCTTCCGAGAATCCTTTACACGAATCTCTTAACTAGGCACCATAGTGGGGTCTCTTCTAACATGGTCTAGTAAAAAAATAAAACCAAAGCAGCACCATTTTAAGCTAAAACACCTGAAGTAGAATATGCCCATTTCCTTCATGACCAAAACTATATAAAATGCACAGTCCAATAAATACATTATTGATAAGAGTATTTGAAAAAGAAGAAATTTATTAACTTGTGTTTGTTAGATCTCCCATGGTGGAGAATAAGAACTTCATATATACATATATAACACTTAGGTAAGTTCAAATAAGCATTAATGTGGATATATATATATATATATATATATATATATAATA